TTTCTAAAAAAACTATAAAGTTTGAAAACATAGTTTGCAATAAAAAATCATTTCATTAAGGGCAAAATTGACTTTTACATTAAAAACCCAAATATGTCATTTGACCCGACTATTTTGGAAAATTTCCCCCTTATTTACAACCCTCCCACTCGAGGCTCCGACGAGTTTCGACATTTTGTTCGACGTGTTTTGTTTCTGAAGAAATTGGACAATGCAGCTTTTAAGTAAAAAAAATGTTATTGCAATTATGAATTGGTGTTGTTCAATTGCATTTGCACTCTGTTTTATGGAGTTGCTATTTTGGCATTAGGCTTAAACTGTACTGTGCATTAGACTTGTTCGATTGTGCGGATGTTTCATTGTTGTACTCGTGATTGTCGGCATTTCAAGTGGTGATGTTTCGCCTTATGAAGACGAGCCAGTGCATTGTGAAGGTGAATCAAGTGGTTCTTGTTCGGGATCATATAAGCTCGAAGATCTAACTGATGACCTATCAAGTGTGTCCAATAAAGGACAAAGAGAAAAAATGTGTTTTTTTAGATGATGTATTGAATGTTGATGTAATGTGACGATGTTAAATTAGACGTGGAGTTGAATTTTGATGTGATGGAATGGTAAAAATGTTTTCGCTTTGTATGTTGTCTTGAATCTGCCACTTTTCGCAAGATTTTAGAAAGTTGATTCTATTTTAGCAAAATTGGTGGATCAAAATTGTAGCACATAAGCACCGTGGAATTATCATTAGCAATGCATAAGAGTTAATCCAAAGTTTATTGTCACAAAAAATGCAATATTAACTAGCTAATCACTGATTATGTTGTCTCCCTCAGGAAAGCCAATTCTCTGCAATGCTTACATGTAGCGACTCGAATTTTAAAATGCAAATTATATAACTTAAATTATGTCGCTACAACATTTTCGTCAAATTTTAGAATTTATTTTACGTCCGTAGAGTCGTTTAGCAAAACATTTAATATAATAATTCAAAACGATTTTTAATCTTAAAAATTCAATATTTCCTTATTAGGTCGAATTTTATAACACATCTATTTTAAATTTCTCTTGATCCAATATTCTTCTTTGGCTCAAGTTTGAGTCCATTACCAGCCCA